CTTTTAAGGAAGATCAATGAAATAAAAATAAGGATCCTATCAAGCAAATAGGAACTGAATAAACTAAAGCATTAAATTCAAACTTTTTTATTCGTAATAAAATAAATCTGTAAGTAGGATGTATTATAAAACAAATTCAATACATTTTTTCAAGTAATTAACATTAAATTACAATTTCTTGAAACATTTATATTTTACACTTATAGTAATCACATATTTTTAAGATTAGTGGCTTTTTGTTGGAATTGTAACCCAGTTAATATTCAGTACAAAGTTCCAGTATGGCACAGAAATCATCAGCTGTTTTGTATTAAGTCGCATTAGCCGCAAGGAATAAACATATTTTATGTTAATTTTTACATTTTTGTGTTGTATCTTGCATCGACAATAAGATTAAAGAAAGGAGAGAACACCCTTAACATGTAGAGATTACTTCTAAGGGTGAGCAGTTAGTTACAAATAATTAAATTATGTAGTTAGATATAATTAGTCAAATCAGATTTACATAATTATAATTTTCTTTTTTTAATTCTAAAAGATATCCATTAAAAAGCATTAAGAAGACATTATAATTTACAATATTGCTTCTAAATGATAGTATAACTAAAGCTACAATACATTTATGCTTTGCAGAAACAAGAAAATGTTCATAAACCTTTTTAATATGAATTTTTTTTAGATATTTTAGGTAATTACATCAATGTCTCTCTCTCTCTAGTACCTTTTGCAAGTTCGTTTTAATAATCAAATTAGTGTTCCCACTAGTCCCTGAATTGTTTAACACTTCAACAATGTACCTTGGAAGAATAATTTTCTCTCTCTGTAAAATCAATTACCTTTTCAATGAATTGCCTTATATTTTAGAATTTTCAGATTTAATTACAGATTTCTGTTAATCTAAAGAACTGCTTGTACTTAAATTGTATAAAGAAACTACCAATTTTATTTCTTTAATAATATTAATATTGAGAATAAATATGAAATTATATAAGGTCACCGGCAGTGCAAGAATTTTTAGAATTTAAGTTAGCAGAAACAAAATTTAGGGCAGGCATTGACGTGCACCGAAGCATAATACATACTTGCCAACCTATGACACTCAAAAATCAGGAGATTTTTCACAATGTTAAAAAGACTTTTTAAATGATAAAAATATAGTTTTTAATAATGAATTAACTTTAAATAGTTACTAAATCTTAAATGCAAGCAAAACAAAAATACCTTAGACATAAAAAACATTTTTATTACTTTCATCGTTTAAAAAAAAAAAAAAAAAAAAAGAGGCACTTTAATCAGTTTTCATACAAATGTTATGGACAGTGGCAGATTTGCTCTCGTTAAGAAAGAAACTTCATAATTTTGTTTCATAGCAATTGCCACGTAGGCCTGCTTTCGCTAATAAAAGTTTTTTCTAATGTGTCATCACTAATATTAGATCTAAATTTAGTTCTTGTTTTCGCAACAACACTGAAAATCCTCTCACACTCCGCATTACTATGGGGAACTGTCAAGATGGCCAACATAATTCTAGAGAGTTCACTATATTTTAAAATTCCATCAGCACCTTTCAATTTTCCAATTAACCTCCACTGGGTGTCAATCCTAGCTGATTTTATAACTTCATCCAAGTTTTCTAATTGTAAACTGCAAAATTGTGACTGAAGTATATCAGTAGCAACATCAATATCATCATCTTTCATGACTAAACGAAGTAACACAGGAAATCTGTTCAAAAAGTACCTTATATCAGAAAAAGATGCATTTACTAGAGCAGAAATATCAGCAACTTTAGCATGCAAAATCACTTCATCGTTGACTGGAAATTTATGCAGTGTGTAATCACATACTCGACAGAAGTAACTTCTAACATGAAGATAAAACTTACTTTTGATTTCTTCTGAAAGTTCTTCCACTACTTTTGTAGTTGCAGCTCCTATTACCAAATCTTCATCTTTCTTCCGATTTTCTTTTCACCATAAATCACATCATATATAGAATTACAAGACAAAACACAGACTGGTTTTACAAACTTTGATAAAATGTCTTTAAACAGATCATAAATCATTGATTGCAAAACATGAATTAATGGAATTCTGCTTTGTAGAATTGTGTTCAGAACATCGAATGCTGGCAAAATGAATTGTAAAAAAAAGCAAAAAGCTTTGTTAAGGTCCGAAGTAAAAAACATAAATATTCGTTCTTCACAAGATAAACTTACAGTAATCGGAAAATGTTTCGTGTGTTGAGCAATTTTTTTTATTTTGAGAGAAATTTGTATCAGCTTTACACTTATATTTTGCAGTATTATTTTGAGAACTGCCAGTTGAATTGCTGAATGATGCAGAAATTACTTTATTTTTCTCAAACCCATTTTTAACAATGGAAGTAGTAACTACATCTTCATTTACTTTAGGTACTTATAACTTTCAATAGAGCCTTTTATCTTAACTCTCGAAGCATTTACTTCTTCTTTAAAAAATGCAAGAAGTGGGTTCCATTGATCGAGGATTCTAGATAAGCATTTCTTTAAAGACAACCAGCACGTACACACGTTTCAAAATTTTTCTCATTTCAGTATTATGCAGCTGTAGGAACTGTTTCAATTTTTCCTTTCTTTTAGAACTCCTTTCAAGATAATAATAAATATCAACAATGTGTTCATCCACATTTAATGGTAAAGAAGCTGCCCTTTTTTCAGCTGCTAAATTTAAGAGGTGACAGGTGCACCTCATAATCTGCAAATCTGAATTTGCCTTTCTTAAAATGCCTGCAACACCAGTCATCAAGCCTACCATTACTGGTGCATTATCGGCACAAGTGCTAAGCAATTATTGAGAGGGACTGCATTTTCTTTTAAATTTTAATAATTAGCTGTGCTATATTAAAGCCTGTCAAATGTCCTTCTAAAGTGGGGACAGAAAGTAAACTGCACTCAATTTCTGAAGACTCTGGATTAAAAAAAGAAACAACAATTGGATACAGTTTTGAATTGGTATTATTGGCTTTCATCCATCCGTAGAGATGCAGAACGGAGCTGTTTTAATGCAATCAATAACTGAAGAATTATTTTTCAAATCCCATTTCTTTTAACAATTGCAACCTGTACTGATCCTGGCACTTGAGTATTTCTTAGCAATTTCACCTATCGGGAAACATTTTTATATATAAAGCTGCGGCGTGAACCGATGCATTCAGTGGCAGATTGTGCTCCAGTAAAAAAGGCAGAGAACAGAACATTCTGCATTCACTTTTTGGTCCTTTGTTTTCGAAGAAAAATTTAATTTTTCGTTTTTGTCAAAACAACTTATGTTGTCCTTGTGTTTTTGTGTACGCATATGTTTGAGAACATCCGCCCTTCCCCCATGCGTAATCGAAAAATTGCAACGACAGACGGTACACATCGCAAATTTATTACATTTCCTTGAAGAATGAAGAAATAATGGAAGGAAAGTCAACTGTGTACGATTTTTGAAACATGCACGAGTATTTCACCTTTCTCGCAGACATATCAAAAGACGATAATTTCTAAAACCATTTCCTAAAAGCACGTGTACTCACACAACTCAGGACAAAATGAACGAAATAGCGAAAGAACGGCCAACTGCCTTGAGCTTGCTTTATGCTCATTGGCTAATATATGCCAGATGACACGCAGTGGAGCTCGATGCCCATTGGAGAACTGGAGAACGACGTTTCTGGATACGTATGCTGTCAACACAAAGCAGAAATTCTCATCTGATTCGCAAGGTTTCATTTTAGATATAATCTAGAGGAAAATTCAGCTTTCAGACGTCCAAAATCACATTTTTTTTTTGTTCATATAACGAAGTATTAAGCCAAGTTCCATAAAAATCGTGAGAAATATTAAGAATAAGAAAAAGTCGGGAGAAATATATTGTAAATCGGGTTGGCGGGAGAGCGGTCGAAAATTGGGAGTCTCCCGCCTAAATCGGGAGAGTTGGCAACTCTGATAATACGATGAATCTTTTAAAAACTGTCAGTTTTCAATTTCTTTGCAATTGAAGCAATTTTAATTGCTTCAATGCCTGTGTCAAATGGAAATATAATAAAAAGGGAAGATGTTAGAAAGAGAAAGACTTCTGGGATCAAAAAGAGGAAATTCAAATAATTTTGTTTTCACTGTTCTTCCAAAAATTCTACAAATGATAAGAAATAAATCATGAATTCTTCATAAATACCATGAAGACACTCCCTAAAATCCAAAAGAAAAAGTATCCCTATCAATTCTGTAAGAGCAAAAATTGATTTTGGTGGATAGATATACAGAATGAAGTGTAAAGTGAATTTTCAAGAGAAAATTTACACACATTTAAACATTCCAAAACAATTATTTGGGGGGGAATTTATCACTTATAAATTTTTCAGAATTGAAACAGTCACCAAAATAGAAAGTAATGTCACTTTAAAATATGGCAGGAGAAAATAAAATGATATTTATCAATGTTATGTCTCTGACTGCTTGCTCTCAAAATCAACAGTTTTATTCAAATTTTAAATATCTTAGTGCATCAAGAATTTGTTAATACTCAATGGGTTAAAATTATACAGTTGAAAACATCTAGAGTTTGATGCCATTCTTCTATTATCTTTCCAGGCTAATGGGAAAAAAGCTTAGGTCTCTTTTAGACATATTAAACAATTACATTTTGTAAATTTATTTTTTAAAAATTCTTTAGATAAATTTTATGTTTAAGCCAATATTTAAAATGAAATTATTCTGAAAAGATCAGCTAGTCTTTTCCCACTAAATCTTGCATATTAATACATAAGCATCTAAAACTATATAAAATGGTCGAGACGGATCACTCCGCACTGGATGTGTGACACCAAAACTCCTAAAGAAATTTAAAGGTGTTAATGAAAGCATAAATTATATCCCTTTTAGAAAATATGATGGGAGAGGGATCTTTTTTTTTAAAATATTGGGTCAATTGTGACTCGTTATATACATGCTTGCGATTCAGAAATGAGAGAAGTAGTCACACTTTGAATTTTTTTTTATTACTTAATAAAAATTACATTATTTTGGTGGCACCACACGTGGAGCATTTCCTCGAGGTCCTGAATCCTAAGAGAAAAAAAAAAATTTTTTTTTTAAACATCTTTCACATACAAATGCAGAATAAAACTATTTGATATATGAAAAGCAATTTAAATGCAGTAAAATACATAAATAATTTTACACTTTTTCTCCCTGATAATTTATTCTTTTACTAACTTGGCTGCATGATTTCAAAGGGTAACCAAGATCGTGAGGATATTTGTACGGAAATGGTTCACTTTATCAACAATTATAACTTACAGCTTTTTATTTTAGAAAAATCTCTGAAAGAGGGGTTACTTTAATCTACTGTACAGAACAGGATACAAGTAAAAATTGGAATGGATCAGATTTTCATAAAATACCCATACATACAAATTGTAAAACAATCTAGCCAGAGCTCTACTTCTGCTACATCTCATCATTTGTCATGACGATTACTTACTTTCAAATTAAACATACAAACTTCCAAATAAATAGTGCAAGAATTGAAATAACTTACAATTTTATTTCTTAACATGGAACTGGCGGGAGGGAGGTCATGTAATGGCCATATCAAATATTTTCCCTTATTAGTGGATATAAAATTTGTAGACAATGTAGCAGCTTATTTTTTAAAGGCAATTTTTCTTGCATGTATATAGTAATAACAATAAAAAAAAATCTTTAAATCAAGCAAGAACCTTGCCTTTAATTCAAGAAGAAAAAATTTCAAGAATTGTTCTTGCAACCAATGCCTACCACACATTTGATAAAATGCCCTGGACCAGTTAAAATCTGAATAGCATAAGATTACATGCTGAGGATCTTGGTAGAAAAATATCTAATGTTAGGGATCGTTGTGATGTTTGTGAATTCAGTAGCATTGTGTGCACTCTGTACAACAATTTTGTGCAGAGTACACAGTGCTACTGAAATCCTATAATAAAATTAAAGAACACTTTACTGTAAATTTAAGCATCTTATTTACTTGTGAGAAGTAAAACTGCCAAGATTACTTCCCTTTTCAATATTAATATCAAGTAAATATTCCCCAATATCTTTAAGAGTAGTATTCTATAAAGATTTATTTTGTTTATAAATAAAAGGAGGATTAATATTAGGTGCAGATTAATTTTAAGAAACATCAAAACTGAATTTAGTTCTTTTGAAATTAAATTTATGATCATCTCGATGTGCTGAGGTTTCGGTGCACTACATGAATTCTGCGGGCAATTTAAAAAGCCTGAGTTATTTTTCTTATCAATAATCAGAAAATGTAGAATTCCAACAATTTGTGATCATTTAATTCACATGTGTCTAATACGCACTCATGTTGAATGCAAAATTAAATTTTGACTTTCGCAAAATTTCGAATGACAAACTTAACAATAGCCCCCCCCCATATCTACACAGAAATAAGATCTTTAATAAAAATACATTCTAATTGCTACAGTTTGATGAAAGAAGTGAATTTAACTGTTGAAATAATTCAATATTTTTGGCATGCAAGTTAGCACAAGGACTGTGTAAACACAGAGAGTGAATCTGAAAATTTTTCATTTCAGACAATTAACTCAATTTTGTAATTTAGGTTTACTTTTATACTGAGAAAATAATGTACAGGGAAGGAAAGCTTTTATTTTCTAAAGTACTTTTACACATGATGCAAGTAAAATTAATGGTTAGTGTACATGCCGTGTGGATAAATTTAGTAAATTACCATATGTTGATGAAAAACTAAATTAAATACAAAAATTATTCGATTAAACATGCTTCATAATAAGTTTTACAAATGCTTACAGTACATTATGACAATTCAGATCAAATAAAATTTAGTAAGAATATGCTAAGAACACTAGGGGAGGGAACAAAATCTGCACAATTTAAATTTCATTAATTCAATAAGTTACCTTTATTGCTGAAAAACATTTTCCTTATCAATGGCTAAGATTTAAAAAAGGAGAGTTGGCAGCTATGGATATTATAAAACAGCCTAGTTTCTGTTTTTGAATAATTTACAAAAGTCTACGAAAAAGTGTGATCTAATGCAAGACAGATTACAGACAGAATAGAGTCCGCAAAGACAATTTTGAATACAAGAATAAATCTCAAAATCTTTTAATTAGCCTATGTGTATAAATTTATTATTCGTTATACATTTTTCATTTAGATATACTTTATTGTTTTCTACAGTGGCTTGGGCATCTTTTGTTCTGCCTTAATAAAAAGTTCAAGATCTGTGCAAGCATGACATAAAGAACTGCTTTTCTATAAATACACTGTGCCAATATACTGATAATTTACTGCAAAATATTCAATATGCTTACAATTTTAAAAGTTCCATCAATGGAATAAGAAGTTATATAGCAACATTTGCTGAACAGTGGTCTTTAGAAAGAGTCAGTAAAAAATGAATTTTACAGAACATTTATGTTTTTAACGAACTGTTAACAAAATAGTATTAAAGTAATAAAAAATTTTTTACATGTTTATATATTTTGTTTTAAATAACATATTTGTAAACTTGCATTAAAACACAAGGTATAAATTAAAACGCTGTCGCATTATTTTAAATAAATTACTGACCAAATTGTATTAAATACTATAGCAAATACAAATATTGTAGAAATTGCCAATTTAGCGAAGTCATTTTCATTTTCATGAATGTCTGACATATGGTGACAAATCATACTTTCTTAAGCCTTAACCGTACCCGAGGTGCCATAGAAGCCAAGTATCCAATTCAATTTTCTTATCAAAAACACATTTTAGAAATTTATTAGGACACTAACAACAACAATAAAGAAAAAACACTTACTGCTATTGGTCTTTGGAACCTTGGAGGAGGAGCTCTATCTTTACGACCTTCTTTAGAACGATTTCTTACAATTTTAGAGTGGATTGCACACGACACACAATAATGAAGTTTTGCATACAACTTGGGCAAAGCATAAGCTTTAAAAAAAAGAGAGAGGAAAAAAAAAAAAAAAACTTTTACTTAAATGCCAAATTTAACCATGATTTACATATTAAATTAAAAACCTCTAATGATAATTATGTTAAATTAGGTTCTTTGGCCACAGAAAGATAAAATAGCTGCAGATCATATCAATTCAGATAAAAGTACAAAATAGAAAAGTTATCAAATATCATCCTTATTACTTTTAACAGTAACGACTAATAAAGGATGCAACAGACATCTGACAAACAGCTGTTATTCAGCTTGCGCACTAATTTTCAAACTGCAGTTTAAGAGTGCCAATTTTCCACTTAGTTGGATATTCAGGCCCCAGAAGCTAATGTTTGATACTTTGCATAGCAACTGTGGTAATTAATTTTATTCTAATTTTTTAGTTATATTTTGAATTTAGATTACTACTATGTCTTGATTAGCCAAGTTTCTCATACTATTCCTTAATTTTTTATATTCATCAAACTTTTCTGCTAAATCTTTTGGATTGTTTAATTTGGCCCCCTTGTAGATAGTAACAGGGAATCTTTTCTTAAACAGACCCACTATAGTAAATTATATATAGTATTCAATAGTAAATTCAATAATACCTAATCCTGCCCCCTCTTAAAGGAATTAATAGTTGTCATTTACATAAGTGGTAAATTACAGAGTAAAACTTAAAAACTGTTTATCATATTTTGTCAAAATACTGTCAACATTTTGCAATGTACACCTACTTCTGGAATTAGAATATCACATGCTACTGATGATAAATCTTTCTTAAACTTCCATTGAACGATTCACACTTTTTTCCCCACAAATTAGTTTCTTATTAAACTCTCCTAACAATAAGCTAATATAACTTCTGTGTTTAAAATCTCTTCCTAACACAGTAGATTTTTAAATATCTTCATACAAATATGACCTCTTTAATATGTTACTGCTACTTTAATTTAAATCATTGTCATAAAATACTAAATTTGTTACATGAATAGATTATATACATTTATAAACTATCTAGGTATATTACAGTTACTTCCAGAACTATTGTAATTTAAACATTTACCACAACACTTGTGGAAAAAGAGTCTGGGTATACAGAGTTTGTCGTAAACTCGAGCTTCAAAAATCCATATTTGAAGAAGTGCAAGGAAAAATTTCGGTTTTGCACATATATGATCAAAGGGACATTGGATTTTAAATATATAGAGATTCCCAAAGTAATCAAAACAGGGAGATTACACTTCATACTATTTTATGCAATAAATGCTGTAAATAGATTCGTTATTCGATGCCAGCAGCATGTTATTGCTAGATTGAGTGTTGGTTAAACTTTCCTACAAGTATGGTGAATCCTTAAGTATTGTAGTGTAGTAAGTTTCACACAGAAAAAAGACTGAAGGTGCCCCCTGAGGAAATGGAGACCTTGGAGGATTGTCCACAAAGTGACAGAACATCCTTGAGTGTGGACAGCATCCATATTGTGTACAAAGTTTCATGAAAGAATTGACAGCAGAGACATCAGTGGGAAGTAGCAGTGCTAGTGAAGCAGGGATCAAAGATCTCAGAATCTTTGATTTGACACATTCAGCATGGAAACTCAGATCTGTACAAAATACAGGCACTTCACCAGTTATCAGCAGACACAGATAAAAGAGAAAACTTTGCTACATGGGTGGTGGCACAAATGGAAAGTGACCCACAATGACTGCTGAATGTCACATGGAGGAATAATGCCCACTTTCCTTGCATGGTGATGTCAAACCGCTGCGATTCTCATTGTGTGACTGGTGTGGTTTCATTGCATCTTTCATTCTGCCACTTTCTTTTTTGACAATAATTTATGTATCCAGCTGGAACACCTATACCTTCACTACAGAAAAGACATAAGTTACCTGTCACCACCTTCATGCAAGATAGTACTCCACCTCATATTGCTCATAAAGTTAAGACTTTCTTGTTGGGAGCTTTCACTGAAGACCAAGTCATAAGTCGAGACTATTTTGGTTGCAGGGATACTTTAAGTCTTGGTACCATAGCCGCCAACCACTTTGGTGTAACTGAAAGCTGCCAATCAATTGATTGTTGATGGTGCCATGCCAAACTCAGCTCTAATAAGCATAATGATGTACTTCATTTACCTATTAGCTTATGCTGGTGATCATGCTGAACATTTTTTACTTTAACCTTTAACTGCTGTGACAAATTTTTCGGCATGATTACTGCGAGTGGTCTCGCAGGCTGCTTTTAAGAAACACGTAAAAATCTGGTACTATTCTGTTTTGAGAATCGTAAAAAAAATTGCAGCGAAAATGTATGCGCAAAAGCGCCAAATCTAGTGTCATCAATCACGCTGATTCTAGATTGCGCAAGTTTATATAGTTCTATATTTCTTACGGCGCAATTGAAATACTAGTGTAATTTTTAAATCCTTTTTTGATATCCTATGGAGTTCACACAATTTGGGAATTGCCCATGACGAAAAGTATGCAATAGAATTTTGGGTAAAGTGCAGAATCACCCACTACTTGACGCGGTTTTAAGAACTGCACATACTCGTATCCATGTACACATCGATCTATTTTCACTTAAAAAAAACCCAAAACTGCCCAAAAATGGCACTGCGCACACCCATCCTTCACTTTATCTATGTACACATCGACCTATTTTCACTTAAAAAGTAAAAGAAAATTGACAAAAATGCAATTGTTTTTACCCTCGTAAAAAGTGGCAAACAAATAAGTGGGCGATTCTGCACTTTACCGAGAATTTTTTCAAAGAAAATGCATCATTCATTATAGAAAATTATGTTTGAACAAACAACGAGATGTGTATTTTTTATTTTAATTTAATTATGGCAAAGCACACTAGGGCTATCTGCCTAAGGGGAGAGATGCATTCGTGGAGGACTTTCTAAGGGAAACTGGCTCGTATACACGTTACACATAGGGAAAACCACAAAAACACCCATGCAGCCAGCCCGTTCATGGGATTCGAACCTCGGACCGAACTACCAATGTTCAGCGACTTTACTGCTAGGCCGCTGGTGGGCCAAACAACAAGATGAAATTATACTTTAGTGATAACTCCGTAGTGAAATAGCGATGCAGGCATCCATTCGGTTATGTTTAGCAATTTTTATATGAATTATAATAATGATCTAAAATAGTTTACTCTTATGCCGCTGGTGGGCCAAACAACGAGATGAAATTATACTTTAGTGATAACTCGGTAGTGAAATAGCGATGCAGGCATCCATTCAGTTATGTTTAGCAATTTTTATATGAATTATAATAATGATCTAAAATAGTTTACTCTTATGCTTCCATTCAGTCATCTTTAGCCTTTTTTATATAAATTATAATAATAAAAGCATATTATATGAAATTAACCTTTCATCTAAATTAAAACATCAATCTTAAATAGTTATTTACTATTATACTTCCTTCTTGCGTTAGGGTTGCTGCAATTATTTTTGGAAGCACTGGCATCAACAAAAGTTTGGCAATTTTTTAAGGCCCTCAAAACCGAATACTACCAAAAATACATACTTTTATGGCTTTTTAAGGACTGTTATAAATACTTTATGCATATTTAAGGAATTCTAATTCATTTAAATCGATATATTTTAAACACTAATCATTTAATTTTACACAGCTAAATTCATATAAAAAATTACTATTTCCTTTTTTTAAGAAACAAAGTTTTTATAAAACATGCATGAAAATATGTGACTTAAGTATTACTGTCAATTAAATCATAATTCTACAATGAATTTAATTATTAATAAATAATAGATTAGTATATCTTTGTTTACAAGATAAATCATAAGATGATACACAGTCAAAACATATTTTTTGAGAGTACTGAAGATGCACTGGTTCCTTGCATTCCAAGCATTTGTATGCTGTTTTTCTCTTCTTACAATGTGGGCACAGACTACATATTTTCCTTTCTTCTAATTTTCTTCTTGATTTGATATATCCATTCTCTTAATTTCCTTCTGTTCAAGGATTTGTCTAATTGTTATCTTCAGTTCCCTTAGCAAAACAGCTGAAGTTATCCCAACTTTCAGACGCGGTTTAACAAGTGTAGTAGCTAATAAAAGCAATTTTTTTCCCTCAGTTTTGTAGCATCAGGATATGACTGGAAGAATATATATGAATATAAATTCGAAGTATCTTCGGGCTCTGCTCTAGAGCCTATATTTGCAGGATGTTTCAGACCAGGGAGCTGAACTATTATGTGTTCGTACCACCAGAGTTGGTTCTTTGTTGCCCCATTTGAAGTGCTTTTTTTCCATACAAATTATCATTTTGTTCACAGTCATTACAAAAATTATGATATTCATCTGTAGAAAGCTCAGATTTACTTTCACTGTGATTCTTCAAAATCGGAGTATTCTACATCAAAAATATTGTTGACAAGATATTCAATTTCTTTTTGAGTGAGATATAAGGGACGTGTTCTTGTAAAATGTGAAGCCATATTTATCACTTTTACAAAAGACATGCATCCGATAAATAATGTCTATTGTCCACTAAAACTGGCATGCATCTGCTGTGAGCGGTCTCCCAGACACCTTATAAAGTAAAAAACATGATAACTGAAACCATAATAAAGCTAAAAGTGTAAAACTGTATAGCATATGACCTTTTGAAGGTAGGAGGAAAGACAGGGACCATTTACCGTTTTTATGAGTGGAAATGATGGTTAGAAAATCCTATTTGTTTCATTGTGTGTTAGTGTCTGCCTGTGGGTTCTCTTCTGCAATATATTTTCTAATATATGGGGGGGGGGAAATCCATTGTTTCTCTGATTACATTTACAAAAACCAAACTTTTGATGTCTGCGCAAATTTATGAGATATCCTGTATAACAAAAAAGCAATATTCTAGTCTATATAAAATACAAATGAGTACCTTGTAAAAAAAATATAGAAATAACTGATATTCATATGGGAACTTAACGACGTAATTTTATAATTTTTGACTACAAATAATGTAAAAATTTAATTAGAATTAATTTAATGTAAAAACTTTTCTTTAATGAACAAGCATTTACAACCACAGAGAAAGAACCCATTGGTGAGAAGATATTTTTTATGGCAACAACTAACCAACGATGAACATGACATTAAGCATTACAGTCAAAAGTCATTAATCCGGACTCGTCGGGACTTCGGCGATTCCGGATTATAGATCATCAGTTTAAATCTGGTAAGATGGCATGCAGAAATTATAAAAATTAAAAATATAAAACCGTAATTTATGAAATAAAGAACAATTATGATCTAAAGGGTACCAAAATTTACAAAAAAAAAAAAAAAAGCTTAATATTTATTTGTTTATTATTAAACATTTCTTTCAATGTAAGTTGTTTAAGTTGCTTCGTTTTTTATGTGATAATACATTCTATTTAATTCTATAAACAGACATAATTTCTTGTTCAGTTACAAAGTTTCGCTGTTCAAGTTCTATAATTGCTGTGTCAAGAATACCGACTAATTTGTCAATCAAAATTTTTTCGTTTTCAATAACCTCTGTGTTACTTTCTTCACTATCGGAAGCGAATTATAATGACGAATTTGATTTAAATCATATCAAAGACAGAGTACATCCAGATGAAATACTACATTTAGTAAGGAATTATAAGTCAAATAAAATAAAAACATCTGCCCTGAAGATAAGGATAGTGCTGACAGATCAACTTCCAATTCGTTGCGCACCGCAGCGTCCCCCTCCCCCGCCGAACAGCGTGAAATTGATAAAAAATTGCTTGCTTAAAAATTTTTTCGTTTTTAATAAAAATTTGTTAAAGATTCACAAAATGATGAAACGGACAATAAAACAAATTCAGGTTTCCAGGTGCCCATGTCCGAGTGCAGGACTATATTATTCAAAATTTGATGACTAGGTACATTTGTTATTCCAGAATGCGAGAACACATATGTACATTTATGCATATTCTTCATTATTTAGTTCCTTTAAATATAATAAACTCACTGGCGTAACAGCCCTGCAGTGCCCAAAACCTGCTTTCTTAACCATAGGCCTGGAAGCATACAGTGAGTACAAAAAGTGTTTGCACACAATACATTTTTGTTCACAATTTATAAGAAAATGCATTAAAAAATAGAATAAGCTTATTCATTTAAATTAATTACAAAAATACAATAATATTTAAAAAACATTTTTTGCAACAATATTAAAATAGCTTATGTCAAAAAAGTATTTGCACACTCAACTTTAGCAAATTTGCATTTTTATGCTATTATTTGATAGTCATCCCGCAGTAAATAACATACGTAAGACGACTATAAAAGGAGGTGTGTCGAAACGTTATCAGTTGATTGTCGATTTCAAATTGTAATGTCATCTAAGAAATCTGAATTGCCGATTTCGTTGCGAGAAAAAAATTGCTTTTCTCTACGTGAAAATGGCCTAAGTTATCGAGAAATAGGTAAAAAAAGTAAATGTTTCCTTCTCTACTGTTTGGTATGTTATAAAATGTGAAAGAGAATCTACATCAAATAACTTGCGCTCTGGACGGCCATAGTTTTAGACCTTTTTTTTTTTAATTTCAAGGTACGTAATGTAAAGATATAGGTGTTTTTAATTGTCATTTTAGCACTATGTAATTTTTTAAGAAACTTTGGTACTATTTGGTTTCGAGGGGTGTAAAAAATCACCAAACTATTGTTGATGCCGATGCTGCAAAAAATAATTGTGGCAAGAAATGAAGTATAATAGTAAATAACTATCTAAGATTCATCTTTTAATTTAGATGAAAGGTTAATTTCATATAATACTTTTTTATTATTATAATTTATATGAAAAAGGCTAAACATGACTGAATGGAAGCTTAAGAGTAAATAACTATTTCAGATCATTATTATAATTTATATAAAAATTGCTAAACAACTGAATGGATGCCTGCATCGCTATTTCGCTACCGACTTATCGCTAAAGCATAATTTCATCTCGTTGGTTGTTCAAACATAGTTTTCCATAATGAATGATGACTTTTCTTTGAAAATGTTCTCGGTAAAGTGCAGAATTGCCCAGTTATTTGTTTACTGCTTTTTACAAGGGTTGGATTTTTGTCAATTTCTTTTTTAAATGAAACTAGATCAATGTGTACATAGATAAAGGGTGTGCGCAGGCCCATTTTTGTGCAATTCTAGGATTTTTTTTAAAAGTGAAAATAGGTCGATGTGCACATGGATACCGAGTATGTGCAATTCTTAAAAACACATCAAGCAGTGGGTGATTCTGCACTTAACCCAAAATTCTATTGCCGACTTTTCGTCATGGGCAATCCATAGGATATAAAAAAAGATTAAAATTAAATCTTTCATGGGTCTTAGAATACAACATTACTAAGCAATTGAATCAACGAGTCCTAATTTGGCGTCGTTAAATGGGCAGTTTGCTCATGATTTCGCTGAATTTTTATGCCCTCAAAAAAATTCACTTTAAAATAAGTGAAAAATCATAAGAGAAGCATCAAAAAGTCCATTTGTTAGTGCAATTACTTTAGCCAATGATGTCGCTTCAACATCTGGAGTTCAAATCCTGTGCCCAAAGTGTTCGAAATGTCCTGCATGAAGCACACATTTATGGGAGATCACCAAGGAAAAAAAACCTCTCATAACTGAACGAAATAGAAGAGACTTGAATTCGCTAAGGAATATAACAATAAGCCAATTCATTTCTGGAAAAATGTCATATTCTCCGACGAGAGTAAGTTCAATATCTTTAAATCAGATGGCAGGAAAATTAATTTGGAGAAAACCTTGTACTGCTTTTCATACCCAAAATGTGTTACCTACAGTTAAACATGGAGGAGGTTATGTTATGATTTGGGGGTGCATGGCTAGCAAAGGAGTTGGTAATTTGTGTTTTATTGATGGGAATATGATAGCTCGAACCTATATTGATGTGTTGCGAGATGTGTTGCGAGATAATTGCCACAAAGTGCAATAAAATTGGGTATCAGTAATTCGTACTATTTTCAGCAAGACAATGATCCCAAGAACACTGCCGGTATAACACGTATGTGGTTGCTTTATAATGTACCCAGAAAACTTGCCACTTCACCACAATCACCAGACTTAAATCCTTTGGAAAATTTGTGGAATTCTTTGGATTTAAAAATAAGAAAAAGGAAGATTTCAAGCAAATCTGCTCTTAAGCCCTTATTGAAGAGTGGTCGAATACTGACCCTACTGTTACAGAAAATTTAATTAAATCAATGCCAGCAAGATTACAAGCAGTAATAGATGCTAAAGGAATGCATACTAAATATTAGTTATTTGAAATTTGCTTATATATTTTATTTCATTGCAGGTGTACAAAAAAGCATTGTTATTTATATTATTGTAATTTTTCTGTTTGTTTTGGATGATTAAACTTATTCTGATTTGGAAATACCAATTTTTTTTTTTTTAATGCTTCTTTTTATGAATTGCAAATACTTTTTTACCCAATATCCTGAAAAGGTAGTGTCGGACCCAGTGTTTGTCCAAGCGAACTGGTATCATTTACGACAAGTGATGAAACAGGTGAAAGGCTGGTCGGCTGCAGGCGCGATCGAACCACTGTGTGTCTGCCGAGCTTGCCCGCCACGGATCTTAATAAATAAGGGAATATATTTGTGGCACATTTGAAAAGTGATACAGCATAAAGATTCGATGCAAAATGCCATTTCGAGATTATCAGCTCTTCTGGACTAATAACACAAAAAGTGAAAAATGAGTGTGATGTTACAAGCAAAATTATGAGCAGTAATGTAAGGAAATGTTTGCTACCTCCATACATGTGAACCTGTTTGGCTCCCAAGTTCGAATGGGTGAAGTGCAGAATCACGCTCGTATTTGGAGCGTTATGTTTGGCATTTTTTATAAGAGTTTTTGTTCATCATGTTTAAAACTTTGCTATGATTAAACTTGCCTTGTGAGAATTAAGGTTGCTATGAATTAACAAAAAGTTACCTGCAAATGATTTACAGGAATGTTTAAATTCATAATATTTAAATAATCATGCATGCGGTGGAGTGGTAAGCAAGTTAACAAAAACTTATGAAAATATTGCAATGTTTTGATATACAAATGATAATATATTAAATGAATTCATTTAATTTACTAATATATTAATTTAATACTTATAAAAATATTGCAATACGTAAAATACTTATTTATTAATGTTATTTAAGTGATTCGACATAAAATTTATACAATCCATAAATAAATATTAAGAACAAAAAATAATAGCTTACTCTCATAAACACTGGCGTCAGTTACATCTCTCACAGCAGCGGCCTCCACAATGTTTCGAATAACGAATTTCTTGATGGCTTTGTCTTTGGGTACACAACGAGCACAGTTAGTACATCGGACAGGTTTTACATGTCCACGACCATGCTTGCTACGACCGTTGTTTCTTCTTTTAGCGGTCTAATGAAAGAATGAATTACCATAAATACACAGTACTAGGTGACAATATTTTTATGATAAAACTGGATATTAATGAAAAAATTTATCCACGAAAGTAACAAAAGAACATTAGTCGAAACATAAAACCATTTATTTCCAAATGGTTAATAATAGAAAATTCGTTTTATACATGTAATACGATAAGCCTAATCTTAAGAACTAGCCTAATTCATAAATGAAAACATTTACATTTCATAACTTAAATAATTAAAAATATGAAAAGATTATGAAACAATTAATATACAAACCATCGTTTACAAAAGACAGCAAGTAAAATTCTCAGAAGTTTAAACTTTATTTTCACAAGAATACACGGACATGTGCTCACACACCAGATACAGATGACACGATCAGTTTTAACGCAATGTTGCCAGATTGAAAATAAAAATTACCTTAGATACTTGACTTTTGAGGTAGAGCCCAAGAGCGATGCGTAGTGCAGGGAGAAAATTATGCCACATACGCATGACGTCATGTGGGTGACAGTGTTAGTTCTTGGCGTTTGTTTACTTTCGTTGCATCAACAGTTTGATTTGATTTGTGTTGTTAATGTGCTATTATACCTAGTCGGAAGTGGCAAATTGTGCTATAGCATTGTGTCAGAATTATACACGGCAATACGTTTCTTAGGCGGAAAACACTCTTTACAACCAGATAAAATAACTGACTATTTTTTAATCAATTTATGTAGTTTTCATACATAACTGTGATGTAATTTTACATTTATTTTCATTTTACTGCTATTTTACATTTAGATTGAAAAATTTCTCATTTTAAATCATTTTTTTATCATAATCTTCATTTTGTGTCTGAGACTGTAGTGAGATATTTAAACTCAGTGTCATGTTTATCAGTACTGAGTACCTGAATGATTAGTTAATAAATTCGCTTATCCAACTTCATTCACATGTTTTGGTTACTTTCTTTACATCCCAAACGTAATTCTATGTATTGAAGCAGCGTCTGGGTAAAGCATTGCGAACTAAGTAAACTGATACATGCCTCACCGTGAAGAAAGAAGAATTTCTCGACCACACTATGATGCAAACATCGAATGAGTGAGTGACATATTTCCTTCAGTGTTATTTAACTGATGCATACAGGTATGTGTGATGTAATTTAATTGATATAACTAAGTGAACATACATATGCTTGACCCTGAAGGAATACAAATCTGTGTATTGTGCTGGAATACAAATAGCGTAAGATTAAATAAGATAATGTCTTCAGTGTTATTTAACTGCTGCATATGTTTTAATTTTGATCCACATAATTTGTTTTAATTATAAGAGAAAGACAAACAATTAAATACTGAGCACTATTTGAGTATAACAAAAGAATTTTAAGAAACAACCTGATTAAATACATTAGTAATTAAAAATATTAATTTGAATACAGGCTAAATTGAAATGAAAAATAGGGGCAAGTTTATTAGTTTTATTATTGTGCATTTATGTGTAAGAAATGTATTTAATTATTCCAATTTTAATGTATGGAGGGAAGAACAGGGCGTGAAAATCGAAGATTTTTGCTATAGCAATAAACGCCAGGATAAATGTTATGCAGGCTTAAAGATTTTAAGATAAATTACATTAGCCGGAGCGCCGGAGCCCTAGATAAGATGAGCTTGTAGAAATCATAGGTTAATTGGAAGCAGAAAAGATGAAAAACATGCAAACGCCCTTCGCCAGGAATCGAACCACGGGACCTCTGAAATACCGGCTCAGTGTACAGAACCACTACACCACGAAGGCACGCTAGGGAAATGGGAGAATACCTTATAAGCTCGGTACTTCTTTTTATAAAACGAACCACAATTTCAAGGGAAAAATTTAGAATCCTAACATTTTATTTCGACAATACAATTTTAAAAATCGCTTATAAATTTTTTTTTCTCCTTTACATTTTATTCATTTAATTATTTATTACTTAGTCTTTAATTATTTCAATAAATAATATTTAATTAATATATAATAATTATCAATTAAATTATAATGAATTAATTATTGATTAAACAGCAATTTATGAACATTAATTAATAGCTATTAATAATTTGATAATAATTAATATTTAATTTAAAAATTATAATGGTTTAATAGTCAGTATTATTTATTTATCCTGTTCCTCTTTGCTGACTGTCTTCCATAGGGACTCGGCATTTCTAATTTTAGAAATTAAGCCCTGGTATATAGAAATCATAGGAGTGTAAGGGATTATAAGAGTGTTTTAGATAATACTGAAAATATATATTCTTCTGAAATCTGAAGTGAATCAGTATAAGTAAATGACTTAAAAGAATGTCATAAGTCTATTTAAAAGTATAAGGATGTGATATTAAGAAATTTGTAGAATTTTAGGGTAATTAAATATGAATTTGTTGATTTGAATCTTTTTATATATTTTTTGCTTATGTAATTTTAACTGAAAATCACAATCATATATTTCTGATGAAATGTCAAAATTCATTTGTATTAAAAAAATGCATGAGCAATGAAAATGAATTGGAAAATATTTTTTATTATGTTATTACCACGGTTTTAGCAGTTATGGCTTCATGTATTCTATTCAAAAAAATTTACTTAATGCAGACAATACAGCCACAAATATATTGGAAAATACCTCGTTTTTACAACATTTATGTCCCTTAATTAACCTAAATATCGTTTTTCATTTCTAATGCTTTTTTTAAGGAAAGAATGTAATGTTATAATATTTTGAGCATCGTACGAATTGTGCATAAAAAACATTCGTTTAAAAAAGCTAATCAGAAAGATATACCTGGTATTTCGGATGTTATTATAATTCCATAATAAAAGGATCATTTTGCTTTAGTTTACATTTTTCCCATTACCAAAATCATGTAGCAGACACGCCGACCCACGTTTCTTGCCACCCGGGTGACGTCACTACCAGCAACCAATGACACGCAAGGATCAAGGATCAAGGAAGTGCAATTTACGGAGTTCATAGGCAATTACGCCTTTACCTCCACATCTTCAAAGGAAATTAAATCATCAAAAAGAGGGGATTGTCAAATAGGGTAAAATTTTGATAAGCCGAATGACTTGGAATAAGTGCCTTCACACTGAGTCAAAAAAAGGCAAAAAACTCAGAAGGTCTTAATTTTGCGCCGAAAAAGGGCCAGAATAATTTAGATAGGGGCAGCCATAAAATTTAGACTAGAAAAATAAAAGGTGAAGTTTCCTTGAACCTTGATAATCATGTTTTGCATACGTCAGATGAAGAATACGCAGGGGAATTCCGATGCGCGTTCTTCGAGGTCGGAGGAAGGGGGGGGAACCTGTTTACAGGTCGAAAAATTAGTTCTGCTAGTGAAGCTAGCTAGACGGGAAGGGAGAAGTTTCATTTTTGACCGCTATTGAATGCGGTATTTAAAGGCCAAAAAGGACGCTGTTAAGCGCCTAAGAAAGTTCCTTTTTAAAGGAAGAAAGAAGCTGTAATTTAAAAATCTTTTACAGTTTTACTTCATTTGATAAGTTAAAGTATTTTAAATCAGTCCTATGACACGCTTTTTCCGTTCCAGGCCTAACCTTTAATATTAAAGAACCTTGTTAAAGAACATTGGCGCCCATGTGGCAAATTTGATTGAGCCGGAAAAACTGCACACTGTGTGGTAGTCCGCAATAAATTAATCAGTCAGTCAGTCGTGAGAGTTCGAAGTTCACGTAGGTGGGAACTTACTCACTTTTTCTGTGTGTGGAGTGGAGAATATTTTCGGTATTTGTTTTTGTGATTATTTTTTACTGCAAATTTAGTTGCCGTATCGCACTTTTCAGGATATTTTAAACGACAGACTGTTTATAAATAATTTGTAATTGCCGTATTATTTATTTGCGGAAAATGTTACGACCTTCGATTTTGAGAGTTCTAGCTGGAGGAAAATCTGCTATCAGGTAAATATTTGGATTTAAGAATTATGTTATTTTGATTCTTTTTGTTATTTTATTTCTTGTGGATGAATTTTGAAAACTGTGAAATGTAGTAGTATATTTTCTTCATAAGGATATAAGATGTAAAAAAGTTACTCATATATCAAAAAGAATGAATGCACAGTGAACTTTTAAGGTAGAAGAGGTTAATCTTTAGGTTATATTACATAACAATTTACGTGGTTTAACATATTTAAATCTTATCTGTGAATTTTTGATTTTATATTTAAATTATGCAGGTATTAGTGCCCTCTTCTGTATGCGGAAGTGACATATTTGGGTAAGTAAGCTTGATCAGTTTTAAGATCTGCTGTCAAGTGGATAGGTCACAGCTTATTTAATTGCATTTGGCCATTCTAATTGTGATCCTGTTTATGTTTTTAAAACTTATTTCCCATTTTAATTATTCAAGTGGCATTATAAAGATGATAAAATTGATTTAGGATTAAAATTTGAATCATATTAGTATCTAATTCATCTAAACAACAGCTTTATAAATACTCTCAAAAGCAAGTTTTAGGTTTTATTTCTTATGCCATGTTATGTAAACTAAAATGTATTATTTTCTTTTACTTGTTAGGCAGTATGCTGCTGCTGCGCAGACTGCTGCCAGAGAACCAGATGATATTAAAGGAGAAAAGAAAGTAGAAAAAAATGTTTCAGTTAGTATTTTATTTGTCCTTCTTTTTTTAATTCCGAGTTATGTGCAATATATATACCTTATTTTCCACTCCCAGATATGCAGTATGAATATGGGTGAAATTTTCTCATAAAAGTTCACTTCTAAATTGACCAAAGAACTAAGACTGCTGAATACCAGAAATTTGATTTGGAGTCAAATCCTGGTGAATGTGCTGAGAAAGTGGAGAATTGTCCACTGCTTGGCGCATTTTTAAGAATTGCACATACTCGGTATCCATGTACACATCGATCTATTTTCATTCACTTAAAAAAAATCCCAGAATTGCACAAAAATGCCATTGTGCACCTCCTTGACTTTATCCATGTACACATTGACCTATTTTCAATTAAAAAGTCAAAGATAATTGAAAAAATCCAATTCTTCTTACACTTGTAAAAAACACCAATCAAGTAAGTGGGCGATTCTGCACTTTAACTGATGTGCTTCCCTTGTGGATGTTTTCTGAGTTTTGCCTGTTTGTGCAAATACCTTAAAACATTCTCAAAAAAGCCTTCTCTATAACATACAACCAGTTTAAGGTGTACAGCACAAAATAAGCAACCTACTTCTTAACTGACATCAAATGCAGAAATAAGCCCTTGCAAATATTTTTTCATCGGTCACATTCACCGCAGTCACGCAAACAATCCCTTCATAATAGAGTTTCTCTAACACTCAACTACTACCATAAAAGAAACAACAGTTTGGCGATAAATGAAGGAACAACTTAAAAATAAACCAATAGGAACCATAAAATATAGACTAACCTGTTAAACCAATCATACAGAAAAAATTTGGGAACTACTCTGATATGCGCCCTCAAGGCGCCAAATTTCTCGCCAAATATTTTTGGCAAGAAACTCCACGCTGCCATATTGCTATCTAAATTTTTTGTCTACATTTCGAACTTTAAGCCTAAAATGTCTCCAAAAACACGGTTTTCGCGAATGCAAAAACCACGTTTTGAACACACAATTAAGCTAAAAATCCGAAACAAAAAAACAAAAAATTAGATAGCAAAACCGTGAAGTTTCTAACCAAAATTATTTTACAAGAGTCCATGTACACAGCGATATGTTTTAATTAAAAAAAAAACATCTACGAATGGCACAATCTAGGCAATGAATGAATTTACGAACTACGCACACCTCGCTTTAATAAATTAACATAACAATAAATTTCAAAGAATACCATGTACACAGCATCCTGTTTCAACTTAAAAAAAATCTACGAATTGCACAATTTAGGCAACAAACGAATTTACGAACTACGCGCACCTCACTTTAATAAATTATCATAACAACAATAAATTTCAAAGAATACCATGTACACAGCGTTCTATTTCAACTTTAAAAAACATCTACGAATTGCACAATTCAGATGGTACGCACTAATCAACAAAATAACTAAAATAAATTTCAAGCAATTCAAAAAAACAATAATAACGACAGAAATTCATACTAAAAAAAAAAAAACAATGAACATTATATTCTACAAAATAAGAACAAGAATAAAATAAAATGCACTTACCATTAATGCTTTTTCGAAGAGCAGATATACCAATTTCATACCGCCACGTAATCACTAGTATCGTATTTATATGACAGCCAGACACACTATCCAGAAAATTCATACTATGGTTCACAAATAAATAAAATAACAAATAATCACAAATCCCTACTTCTATCATGCACAATCACTAAAAATAATCTCCCATACCTTCTTTCCACACCTCCAAATACCCATACCCCCTCAACAGGATGACCACGACGATATTTCCTTATGCCGAACTTCAATTCAACAACTTTCGCCATTAAATCTTTTCCCCCTAGCTTCTCAGACACAAAGCATGACAGGAACCAACAAACTCCAGCGAAAGACTTTTCAACGTCAACAGGGTTGCCATACAACACGCAATCGCGCCAAAAACCAGCGCAGAACACATATCGCCACATTTGGTGAAATTAGTGCGTATATCAGAGTTGTACCAAAATTTGTCATTTTTCTTAAAGCAAGCAGTCTCATATGTAATTATTCAAGCAAATGCTTCTCTTAGAATGAAGTTCATGTAGTCAAGTATGCTTTCCCCCTGAAAAAAAATGCTGATCAGTAGTCATTTCGAAACAAATGTATTAGCACAGCCACCTTGGCACAGTTTGGTGATTTTTTACAGAAGAAAATTGTGATGAGTTATAATTGCCAAAAAAGTTATTTATATGGGAGTATAAATACTCGCTAATTTTTTAATTAATAAATACTAATAATATATTATGGCAAAAGTATATGTATGGGTACCTCTCGGCGATTATTGGCGGTACATGGATACTGAGATTGTGCAATTCTTTGACTTGTTATTTTGCCTGTGCAATTCTTTGACTTGTTATTTTGCCTTTGTGTAGTGGCGATTTTAATGTCAAAAATCGCCGCCACACAAAGGCAAAATAACAACTCAATTGCACAAACTCGGTATCCATGTACACAATGACCTATTTTCCCTTAAAAACAGTCACAGAATTGCACAAACTAGGCGTTGTGCACTCCCTTTATCCATCTACACGTTGACCTATTTTCACTTGAAAAAAATCAGAGAATTGCACAGACTTGGCATTGCACGCTCCCTTGACTGTGTTCATGTATATATCGATATATCGATATATTTTCACTTAAAAAGTCAAAGAAGCACCCTATTCTACAATAGAGACAAATAAAAAATACATAATCTCAATAAACTACATTTCAAACCAAACGGTAAATTAACATAAAAAAGGAAAAAACTCTTATGAATCTAAGCACTACACAAAGCAAATATCCACTTACTTTATTTCGAAATTTCTTCGTCTTTAGTCTGTGGCACACAAAATTCCTTAACAGCATCCCAAAATTCCTAAAATTCTCTGAACTTGAATCCATATATCGGCGTCGCCACATAATTCACAAAAATAAGAGTAAAAAATATTCTCCGTAGGTCTGGATTGTCCGGAAAATGGCTACTAAGTAAACCTTCGTTTACACACCAGTCAGTTAATGCTCTTTTCCCCTTTCATTCCAAACTGTACAGAAACTTCAAATTAATCTTACTACATTCAGCCATTCTACTGTCTAAACAACAAAAGAAGCAATGTACTTCCTTACCAACACACACCGCAAATCCTTACAAAACATCCCATATTTCAAAATTTAACGCAATCACAGCAACCGATTACATCATAATAGGGTTTCCATAACATTAAACTACTCAGGTTACCATAAATAAAACAACAACTTGGCAATAAACGGAACAGCAACTTGGCGATAATACAAGGGGTACCCTTCGGTCTACTCTAACCTATATTATATATAACTCAATATTGTTACGAAATGTACAGCCGCGGTGAGATAGCTTCCACGCAAAGAAGGTTTAGGGTTGCCGTAAAATGACGAGAAGGCAGGGTTGCCACATTTGGCGACAAAATTGGCGATATGCCGTGGACAGTTGGAGAACCTTCTGGAACGAATTCTTACCGGTTTAGCCCAGAATGTTCTCGAACACAAGCCGAAAGCTAATAAACCCTGCTGGTTCGCAGTCAATTAGAGTGTGCCTCGTCTAGCGAGCTGATAGTCGGTCATTGAGCGAGTGGGTCGTCGAGTGCATCGAAGAGTCTCTTATTGTATAGCTGTTAGTGCATTGTCGAGAGAGTATGTTAAGCTCTGGGAACAACTGAACCGGAGAGTCGGGAGCTGTGCTCTGTGTGTCGTTCAGTGCATCTTGAATTGTAGCGTGGAGAGTGTCGAGAGTACGTGAAGTTCCTAAAACGACCAAGCAGAGCTGGGAGCTGTACTTTGGTGCTTTGCAGTGAAGCTGTCTCCACCGTGATAACCTGAAAACTGTGTCGCTGATTCTTCCATTTTGATTGGTCATTTTGGAGTTGGCAACACTTTTCAAAATTGCACCAAGGTTGTACTGTATACTAGGATTTTACCATAAAAATTTGTTTTATGGATATGTAAGATTGCTTACTTCATGCGAAAATTGGGAACATTTTCTGTAATTTTAATAGTGTGTATAATAATAGGATATTACTGATAGTGTACCTAATAGTGTGTATAACAGTTGTATATTACTGATTTTTGACAGAGAAATTATTCCAGATGACCCTATGTACCATAATGGCCAATTGTTAGTGAAATCCTGTAAGGGCTAATAGGAATGTCTTTATCCTAGTTCATATGCTAGTTTTCTGACTACCAAATGAGGTGTGACATTTTACTGTTATGATGGGATTTGTGTTTGGTATTTGTTGATTACTTTGAGTTTAAGGTTGAGGGTTATGGTTTAGGCTGATTATTAAGATTTTTTTTTTTTTTTTTGAATTTTTAGATCTTCTTGAAGGAGACATTATTTTTAGCTGTTAAGAAAAATCACATTCTGACAAAATATAATTCTTAAACACAACCATATGTCATCTACTGATTAAGAAAGAGCATTCAGAATCTAATAGCTGCATTTATCATTCAAATGTGTTTTCAAGAATTGTCACTGCACATAGCATAAGACATCTAATTTATCTTTCATGCACCTCCATATATATACAATTCAGCAAAACATAAAATCTTTATTTTTTGTTATTCATTAATAAACCGAATGAGTTAACTGCGGCGCCCGACCGTTTTGAAGTGTCAACTCGAGCGGTGCTGTTGTGGCGGCCGAGTGATTTGAAGTTTTAAATCGAAGAATGCTGCTACGACGCTATGTTCTTTTGTAACTTGATCTCCTTATTTACGATGTTCGATAAGATATTTTTCTCGGAAGTACTTTCATGGAATAGGTCCCGCTGACATTGTAGCTCAGTTTAGTTAGTCTCGGCATAGCATTCATTTGAAACAGTCTTGGCAGTAAATATAGTAACTAAAAAGTGTTTGAGCCCTAAAAATATGAAGGAAGATCAGATCAGCTCGAATTCAGATGAACTCAATTTTGCCACTTTGGATGATGAACTTACA